GGTCCCCCCTCCTCCAGGGCACCTCCCAGGGCTGTGTCCCCTCCCAGGGCTGTGTCCCCTCCCAGAGGCCGCTTCCGCCTGCCAATCTATTCTGTGCAAAGAGGTCCCCCCAACCCCCACTCAGGCTTCAGGGCTTCTCGGGTCCCAGGGAAGAGCAGGTCATGGGGCTGGTGTGTGACTCCCGGCTTTATTTATTTATTTATATTTTAAAATCTATTTTTTCGTTTTATTATTATTATTGGTTTAAAATCCTCACCCGAGGATAGTTCTCCATTGATCTTTAGAGAAAGTGGAAGAGAGAGGGAAAGACGGAGAGAAATATCGATGTGAGAGACACATCTATGGTTGCCTCATGCACGAGCAAACCCACTGAGCCACACTGGCCAGGGTTAAATAGATTTTTATTGATTTCAGGGAGGAAGGAAGAGGGACGGAGATAGAAACATCCATGATGAGAATCATTGATCGGCTGCCTCCTGCACGCCCCCTACTGGGGATCGAGCCCGCAGCCCAGACAGGTGCCCTTGACCAGGAATTGAACCCAGGACTGAAGGTGCCCTGAGCCAAACGGACCAGGGCACGGCCCTGCTCTGACTGTCCTGTGCTCATCTGCCTCCCACACAGGAGGCCCCAGGAGGCCCTGCGCCCCGGGTCCTCTTGGAGCTGGGCAGGCTCTGCCCTCTCCCCCTGCCCACACCCAGCACCAAACCAGCGCCAGGGACAGGGCAGGGGCTGCTGAAGGCTGTTCTCTTTGGAGGGGGCGGGGCGGGGTGAAACCAGGGGAGCAAGCAGAGGCCCAGCCCTGGTCTCCCCACTTTCTCTCCCGCCAGGTCCTGTACCCAAACGCCTTAAATCTCATGAGCTTCACTGTGAAGGAGACTGTGTGCCCCAGGACGACGCGGCAGCCCCCCGAGGAGTGTGACTTCAAGGAGAACGGGGTGAGCTGGGGGCTGGGGCGCCCCGAGATGCTGGACAGGAGGCCTCGGGGCCCATTCCCAGGGACGGGGCGGCCGGGAGGGCTCAGCTCCGGGTGGTGGTGTAACCTGCGCCCTTGCAGCTGGTGAAGGTGTGCACGGGGACCGTCAAGCTGGACCAGGACAACGGCTACTATGACTTCATCTGCTACGAGGTGAGTGGCCCCTTCTGAGACCTGGGGGCCGATGGGTGTGGCCCTGGAGCGTCCTGGGCCCAGGGAGCCCCCTGCCCGTCCTCCCCCAGCCCCAGCCTGGATCTGAGTGGGGTCCCTGCCCAGGAGCCTGTTAGAAAGGCCCCCCCGCCCCTGACCTGCAGCCTCAGACTCCGGGTGAGGCCCGGCAGGGGGCATGCAGCCACCTTCCAGAAGGTTCCTGCTGAGGCTGGGGGGCCGCTCACTGCGCTGATGAGCTTTCAGCCCGGCTCCCCTCGGCTTTGCTGGATGGGCCCTGGGACCTGGGAAAGCCACTAGCCACCTCTGGGCCTCAGTTTCCCCATCTGTTTAAGGGGTGGGGGCTCCACCACAGGCTCCAAGGTCACAGGCAGAGGGGGAGCCCGGCCCCTAGGCCTCTCGCTGGCCCCGGAAGGGGGTGCAGGTGGAGGCTCCTGACCCTGGCCCAGCCCCACATGGAGCCCGTTTCCTCCCCCTGCACAGAACAAGAACTTTGGATTCAACTCCAAAAGGCTGAAGAAAAGCTTCAAGAGAGGTGGATACTAGTTAGGGGAGGTGCTGGAGATAACTGGCGGGATAATCAAGAACTTATAAACGAACTTCTCGCCCAAGGAATAGCCCTGAGGTCTGTTTGGCCCTGGCCCCGGCCTCTGTGCTCTGACCAATAAAATCTGGGAAAGCCACCTCCTCAGGCCTCAGTGTCACTTGTGTCGCCTTCTCTCGCTCCCGCAGTGAGCTCATGTGGCTGTGTCTCTCTTTTCCTGAAAATCAGTAAATGGGGGGGCGGGGTGGGTACCTTGGGCGGTGGCCCAGGTTATTGGAGCATCGTCCTGGACCCAAAGGGTTCGGTTCCTTCCCCGTCAGGCACATCCCTGCTCTCAGGCCCATCCCTGGTTGGGGAGCATTTGGGAGCCAACAGGTCAATGTTCTCGCTCACATTGAGGTTCCTCTCTCTCTCTCTCTCTCTCTCTCTCTCTCTAAAAATCAATAAAAATAAAACATCCTTGGGTGAGGATTAAGGCCGGGGTGGCTCAGTGGTTGAGCACTAACCTGTGAACCAGGAGGTGGCCGTTGGATTCCTGCTCAGGGCACAGGCCCGGGTGGTGGGCTTGATCCCCAGTGGGGGTTGGACGGAGGCAGCTGATCAATGATTCTCTCTCCTCACTGACGTTTCTATCTCTCCTCCCTTCTCTCTGAAATCAATAAAAATACATTAAAATAAATAAATAACATCAATAAGCAACACCCTCAGGTGAGGAGGAAAGAAACAAGAGCCTGGCGCCTCCCTGCCCCCATCGGCCTCTGGGGGCCTCCAGGAGACGGTCCTGCAGAACCGGACCCGCCCGAACATGGCCTCCCGGCCTAGAGAGGTCCTTCTGCTGAGGGTTCCTGTTACTCATGTGTGTGTGTGGGGGGGGAGGGTAGGAGATAAGGGGGATGAAGGAGTGCAGGGGGGAGGCGCTGACATCGCTGCTCCCTGAGGAGCAGGGGGGACACCCTGAACCGGGGACTCCGTGCCGCGCCCCCACCAGGGAGAGCCCTCAGGGCATCCCACGCGGATCACCTGCAACCTGTGCTCAGCAACCAGCCTCACGGGAGGAGCGGCCCAGGGCCAGACCGCTGAGCGCTGCGGGCGCCCGCCTTCTGGCCTCACGGACCACCTGTGCCCAGGGAGCACCAGAGCCCAGGGATCACCAGAGCCCAGGGACCACCAGTGCCCAGGAAGCACCAGAGCCTAACGACCACCAGTGCCCAGGGAGCACCAGAGCCCAGGGAGCACCAGAGTCCAGGGACCACCAGAGCCCAGGGACTGAGAGGGAAGGGGCTGCGCAGCCCCATCAGGGGAGCCTCTTAGACCTGCAGGGGCTGGACTAGGGGAAGGGGTTGGAATCGGTAAAGGATGGAGCTGAGAATCCATTGTAGAGAGCAACCCAAGGACTGTGTGCCTGCTCATGGCAGAACCAATGGACACAGACCACAGGGGCTAGGACAGGTCGATGGGGAAGGAGACATATGTAACACTTTCACAATAAAGGATTTATTTAAAAAAAGAATCAAGCCCTGGCTGGTTTGGCTCAGTGGCTAGAGCGTCAGCCTGCGGACTGAAGAAGCCCAGATTCGAAACCAGTCAAGGGCACAGGCCCAGGTTGCAGACTCGATGCCCAGGACGGGGTGTGCAGGAGGCAGCCAATCAATGATTCTCTCTTCACTGATGTTACTCTTCCTCTCCCTTCCTTTCTGAAATCAATAAATATATTAAAAAATAAAATAACTCTTCCTAAAATAAAAAAGAATCCATTATAGCCTCGGGTCAGATTGAGGCAGAATGAGTTTCTCCCCAATAATGTGCTTATGTTGAGTCTTTTTTTGTTGGTTTTTAACCCTCATCCGAGGATATTTTTCCATCGATTTTTTTCTTCTCTCTCTCTCTCTCTCTCTCTCTCTCTCTCTCCATTATTTTTTATTTTATTTTATTATTTATTTATTTATTTTTCCCCATTGATTTTTAGAGAGAGTGGCAGAGAGAGGGAAAGACAGAAACATCGATGTCAAAGAAACACACTGATTGGTTGTCTCCTGCACGAGCCCCAACCTGGGCCTGGGCCAGGCAGGAGCCTGCAACCAGGCATGTGCCCTCGAAGGAATGGAACCCAGGACCCCTCTGGTCTGCAGGCCGACGCTCTATCCACTGAGCCACACCAGCAGTGGCCGATGTTGAGTCCTGGATAGAGGCTGTGGCTGAGCCAGTCCCTGGCTCTGTGATCGACATGCTGAGCTCCATGCAGAGCATGTGCCCCCCAAGCACGACTGGGGGAGGAAGCCATGGACACTGTCAGACCCCAGGTCCCCCATCGGGGTGGCTGCGCCCAGGGGGAAGGAGAGACCATCAGGATTCCTTTCCTCCAGGCTCCTCCCAGGAGCCGTCCTGACAAGAGCAGGAAGCCCTGCAGCCAAAGGCAAATGTGGACCCGCCCAGGAGTGGTCTCCCTGGAAGGCGGACACTGGGCGGTGGAGTCCAGCAGGCCCATGCCCAGCCCGCAGCCTCCAGGCTGGGCCAGGCGTCCCCGGGGACCAGCGCTGCACCCACTCTTGGGTCGGCTTTCCCTTCCCCGTTTCATCCCCAGGGTCTTTCTGCTCCTGTTTCCTGAGCTCCTAGTGCCTCCTGCCTCTCAGGAACCTCCTATTCGTGTTACACATTTTATTGATTGTCAACCAGTCCCTCTCAACCGACTAACACCAAAGTCACACCTTGATTCTTTTTCTTTCTTTTTTTTTTTAATTTTTAATTGATTTTTTACAGAGAGGAAGGGACAGGCATAGAGATTTAGAAACATCAATGAGAGAGAAACATCGATTAGCTGCCTCCTGCACACTCTCACCTGGGGATGTGCCTGCAACCAGGGTACAGGCCCTTGACCGGAAGAGAACCCGGGACCCTTCAGTCCGCAGGCCGACGCTCTCTCCACTGAGCCAAACTGGATAGGGCTGATTCCTTTTATTTCTTAAATATATATTTTTTAATTGATTTCAGAGAGGATGGTGTAATGGGGTGACCCGCGGAGACAACCACCAGGGACTCAGATCAAAATTGAGGAGCCTTTATTAAGCTGGCCAGCGACTGCAGGTACAGCGCCCAGCCGGAGCAGAGGCTGAACTGCAGTGCCCACTACAGGGGTTACATTTTATTATTAAATTCTGTGGAGGCCCAGAGAAAAATGTGTCTTTCAAATTCTGGGCCCCCAATATGGAGGAAACTCTCTTTATTTATACCTTTTCCAGTCCTTTGTCTCCCAAATTTGGAATGAGACTTCCGGTCCTTCTGAGAAAGAAGGCCTGCGAGCTGGGAAGGGGCCATGAGACCATATCTCTAGGCCGGGCCTGGTGTCAGTACCTTCCGATCTATGTGTTCTAGCACAGCGAGCCCCGCCTGGCCGAAGCGCCAGATATGCAGCCCAGCACAATGGGAGAAGGACAGAGAGAGAGACAAACTTCAATGATGAGAGAGAATTATGGACCAGCTGCCTCCTGCAGGCCCCACACTGGGGATGGAGCCAGCAACCCAGCCCTGTGCCCTGATGGGAACCCAACCATGACCTCCTGGTTCACAGGTCAATGCTCAACCCCTGAGCCTCTCCAGCTGGGCTTGATTCCTCTGATGAGCGAGATCCAGAACAGACAGAACCTTAGAAATAGAAAGCAGATCAGTGTTCACAGGGGATGGAAGGAGGGAGGAAGGGAGAGACGACTTCATGGGCGCAGGGTGTGATTCTGGGTTGATGAAAAGGGGTGTGTGTGTGTGTGTGAGTGTGTGAGTGTGTGAGTGTGTGTGTGTGAGTGTGTGTGTGTGAGTGTGTGTGTGTGAGTGTGTGTGTGTGTATGTGTGTGTGTGTGTGAGTGTGTGTGTGTGAGTGTGTGTGTGTGTGAGTGTGTGTGTGAGTGTCTGTGTTGAATTTCCATTTCCAACAAGTTCCCAGGAGCTGTGACGCTAATGGTCTGGGATCCACACGTTGAGAACCGCTGTGTTAAAGCTTCCTGGGAGCTGAGGGATTTTCCCCTTTTTGATCCGAACTCCCCTAGAATCTTCTTTAAAAAAATTTTTTTATTGATTTCAGAGAGGAAGGAGGAGGGAGATAGAAACTGTGCCCAGCAGCTCAGCCAGTTTCGTTGAGCCTGAGAGAGGGCAGTGAAGGATGGAGAAAAGACGGTCAAGAGAAGAAAGCTGGGTCTGGGTGGGACGCTGTCCTCTCTGATGGAGAGCTAGCGACAGCGCCACGGCCTGCAAGCCGAGTCCTTATTTTATAGCAGATTCCACGAGGCACAGTAAGGGCGTGGTGACAACGTTCTCGCGGGTTTCAAATCCACTCAGTTACAGGCACCTGATCAAGCTGTGTTACTGCACCTCCCGCAGCCCACATCACTCAGCCACGTGGCCACAGGCTCGGACCATCAGGCCAAGCTCACAACCATAGCCTTTGGCTGTAGTGGTGCTGGGAGGGCTTTGCCATGAGAGGACCCAGCCCTCTCCTTAGTCCGAGGCTTGAACCTGTCCAAACGCTGTAGCCGCTCTCCCCAGGAATCATTGATCGCCTGCCCCCTGCTTGACCCACACGGATGGAGCCCACAACCTGGGCATGTGCTCTGAGTGGGAATCGAACCCTGACCTCCTGGTTCATAAGTCCATGCTCAACCCCTGAGCCACTCAGGCTGGGCTCCTCTGGAATCTTCTGATCACCTGGTTCACCAGAGAGAACTTATGAAAAAGGCAGGCTGGGGAGAGCCCCTCGCTCCCTAGGAGAGAGGGCGGCCATGGCTTCTGAGGGTCTGGTCAGCCTCCCTACCGCTGTGGTGGACGCCCACCCGCACCCACAGGCCTGGCTGGGGCTCAGCCCTGGAGGCTGGAAGCCTGGACCCTGTGCTGTGGCCCAGAGAGGGAAGGCGACCCCCTGGCCCCATCCTGACTTGCAGCCGTCGGAGGACCTGGGGAAGCCCCTGGCTCTGCTGATTCTGAGCGGGAGGCGTGTGCGGGGCTGGCCCAGGCAGAGGTCCCTGTGGCCAGTGGGAAAGGCGCTCTGAGC